TTGGGCCTGGAAGGCCCATTTACAATAAAAGGCCAATAAATGGCTAACAAATGGTATTTAATCTATTCTAACGGGTATACATGAATAAAATGGAGTGTACAACGAAATAAATGCTATCTACTGAGCATGTGTGGGCCGCTGTCCGGGTCCAATAGTCGTGAGACCCAGGGGTCCGAGTCTATATACTCTATCATAGCAGACCAAGGATCACACCCAACTCCCTGCATAGGAACTCTTCCATCCACCATCACACCCACCTCCATCATATCCACACCATCTACCTCAAACCCTGACCCAAAACAAATGAACATTCTTGATTTATCCGAGTACTTCCTTGATAGACTCCTATCTGAACCCATCCTTCCACCTCACCTCATTCAAGTACGAAACATATTAGCCCTCACCCCTCCATTCATTCCTACCGCCTCAGTCGTGATCAAGAACGCTTGCCTAAGCGTAAGCATGATGACTCCGATGATTCGGATCATCATGAGGGGGAGAAAAGGTAACGTGCTTGTGAGAAAACCACATATCAATCCATCATTCCATCCTCCACTAGCTCTGAACCATCTACATCTTCTCAGCCTAAACCCTCAACCTCTACCGTACCCCAATGAATCACTAGCCTTAACCGTTTTTCACCCTTCCGAGCCCATTAACACTGAACCAGGACTTTGTGTCCTCTCCAGAACTTCTATAGGCTCATCCTTCATGGATGTTGACAAAGGATTGGAAGGAAGTCCTGACAATGCAACATATGAATCACCATTGTCTTCAGGCCGTCAGAACGAGCTAGTCTCTAGTATGATGAAAATGGTAAGTCTGTGTGACTCCGGTGTTATGTTACCCTCTACTACGATTTTGTCCCTAATGATCCACAGGTCCCACATGCTGAGAGAGCTACATATTCTTCTCAAACCACTTCTATCCCAATTCCAGCTGATCTACCATCATCACCAAGGAATAGAGTCTCAAAGAGAAAAGAAAAAGATCTCAAAGAAAAAGCTGTTGATCTAGTATTACTCGACTGGATAGAAGATAATGAGAAGGACGAACTCCAAAAGATACACAATGAAGAAGCTCTTGAGAAACTGATTTTCATATGAGAAGTCAAGAAGACTGTTGCTGAAAAGTTAATGGGACTGAACTATGAAGAAATAGCTCAAGGAGAATTCTACGACGATCCACTTCCTGATTTTCACATTGTCAAGGATCTTATCAAGACGCGCCCATGTGAAAGCAAGATTGAAGAAAAGTTTGAAACACCTTGGGAGAACGTCAAGATTGTTGTACCATATCAAGAAGATCTGAGACCACAAATTTGGAGAAGTGAGAAAGGAATCAAGAAGATTGACGAGCTTGAGCTACGAGGACTTGAACATTTGAAAGGAACTGATGCTTCTGGACACATTTGGATGCTACAGAACATGTCAGCTGATCATAATGATCCTTATGGACACGGGAAGAGATTAGTCAAGCATTCTGATTCAATGATCATAGTTATTCGAGCCATAGAGATACATCATATTGGAAGAAGTACATACTATCCAATCTATGAGTTTGAACGACAGAATGACATGATTCAAAGAGCATCTGAAGCTGATTTGTACTACTTGACTTCTACTGATCTGATCCAATTATTCTACGAATATAGATTCGTCAATTTTTCATATCTATATCAGAAGGACAAAGATCTAGGCCTTAATGCACTCAAGAGATTCATGATGATACAAGTCAAATATTATTCACTCTTCGATCTGCAAATGGCCATAAAAAACAATTTTCCGAAAGTGAACATGACTGCACCAAGAAATAGAGCTTCCTGGGTCGAGAATTTTGAAGAAGGCACCATCGTCACACAACCAGAGATAGGACTGATCTACAAAGACTACAAAGGCATCAAACGAGTCCTACTCATGAACGAAATTCACAAGTATTGCGATGGTACACTGAGAATCATAGAAGACCATCTGAGAGAAGCTGCACTGAAGCTACAAAATTCTGAAGATCCAGATGACCCAGTACAGATTGTTCTTATTGCAGATTTTCACGAAGCCATAGGAGTTAGACTTGATTTCAGAAGTACCCTCAGACATTATGAAGTCATCCTAGGCTATCGGAAGTCATTGTACAAGACTCAAGAGATAATCCGCGCTCCATCGACATTTGAACACAAAGGGGGAGAATGTTAGAATATTATTTTATTGTGTTCAAATTAATTGTAATTTAATTAATGAGTCTTTGTATTTTAATTAGATTAGCTGAGAGAGCATTAGGCCCATTTAATCTAGGTCTAATAAGCCCACACGCCTAAGCTGTTTGTTTCCTAATTAGAATAGGCAGTTCGGATATCTCTCCTATAAATATAGGTTGAGATGGCCGAATCTGCTCTCTAAGTCTCTACACATTCTATTCTGCATATTATTCTCTGTAGAGCCAGTAGATTAGAATTCTCTCTCAAGCTTAATCGTTCGAATACCATGTATTGTTCTTCATCGAATCATCATTATGAATACACGGTATAAGTTGATGTTGAATTTCTTTTCTACTGTTTAAATTCTTATCAATATTCTTAGATTATTCGACTGTTGTATCTGGGCATATCTCACACAGATGATGTTATATTCAAGTACAGGCAAATTACGTGCAAGTGGAGAGTTTTTTAGCCTTGCGAAAAAAAAAGAATTGTGCATGAATGTGTTAGACGCATAGATCATATTCTTGAATACCAAGGAAAAGGTACGCAATAGCATGTCACCATGCAGACTGTTTGCAAAATCCATTCCTTGTGTAAGATTCGTAATGAACAAAGCAGCGTTTATTTCATAATTAATTTGATTATTTTGTTGGTGAAGTGCACATTAATGTTACAATTGTGCATTCTGAAACAGATGTACACCATGGAGCACCCACAACCCGAAAATGAAGCTTATGAAGTGTTTAAAGAAGGAATGTTCTCTCTCCTCTGTACAAATTTCAACCACACAGTTTTTACTTTATTAATCCACGTGAAAGTCAAAGTTGACGAACCTTTTTGGGACGGAGGGAGTATAAAGCTAACAGAAGTGAGTAAAAGCAAAACGATGGAGTAACACTAAAAATTAAAAGCCTTGAACCACAAAAATATTCAGAAGTATAATGTATAGCTAACATCAAGCTCAAGTGATCAGACATTCCTTGAAAAAAGCAAAAAAAAAAAAAGAGCATATTCCCGTCGGGAGAAGTTTGAGCTCTTGTATTCCCTCCCCCTAGGACCCCCCAACCCCTTCCCCCGACCCCCCCAAGCTCCCCCCCCCCCCCCCCCAAAAAAAAAAATATAAAATTCTCCTAATAAACCATGGAAGAGGTGTTTGTTCATGCGCCTAGTTCACACAAGCTGAGAGTTTAGCAACTGGGTATAAATATGAGGGGGGAAAGAGGAGGATGGGAAATGAAATATCACCACCATGGAAACATAAATCACTTAAAGATCCATCATCATCATCTTCCCGCTCTTTTATGGCCCTCTCAAGAAACTTCTTCCTGATTCCATCTAGAACAGTTTCTCTTGATTGTTCCCCGCCATGCCCATCATTCAGCACAGGATCTGACTGGCATAGAACTAAGGCCACACCTAAACATGTATAGAAATTACTCCAAATAAGACTAAAACTATGGAAAAAACTCAAAATAGGACTTACTATGTTTTTCTTTTCAAAATAGGACGATATTAGTCCTATTGGAAACATACCTATTTTTTCATTCCATTCTTACCCTTCCATTAAATATGAGTTAATTAAATGTTTAATTCATAATAAATTCAAAAAAAATAAAAAAATCGTAGAAAAATAAATAAAAAATTATAAAATATTTATAAAATTAAAAATTAAAAAAAAATATTTTTTTGAAAATTAATAAAAAATAATAAAACTCCATTAAAAAAATTAAAAAAAAAAAATTGGATGCCTTTCCCACCGCCTCTACTACCTCCCTGCACCATCATCTCCAGCCGATGAAAAAATGCCAAAAACATGGCATATTTCTCTTTGAGAATGCCAACATATTCATTGTTTTCTGCCATAAATATGGCATTCGTAATGAACTTGGCATTTTTTCCCCCTGGTAAGAATGGAATGAAAAAATAGGTATGTTTCCAATAGGACTAATATGGTCCTATTTTGAAAAGAAAAACATAGTAAGTCCTATTTTGATAAAAAAAAAATGAGTTAATTAAATGTTTAATTCATAATAAATTCAAAAAAAATCAAAAAATCGTAGAAAAATAAATAAAAAATTATAAACTATTTATAAAATTAAAAATTAAAAGAAATTATTTTTTATTTAAAAAAAATTAATTTTTGAAAATAAATAAATAAATAAATTATTATTATCGAAATATTTCTATTAATTTTTTAGTATTTTTTACGAATTTTTATTATTTTTTATTAATTTATTATGAATTAAAACATTTCAATAGCTATAAGGGTATATTTGTCCAAGACACACATAATTAGTCATATGAAAACATAGTTTACTTTTTGGTCCTATAAGTGAGTGACTTTTAGTCCTATTTATATGACCACAGAAGAATTTATATCAGGACATCATATTCCACGTTCTGCAAAATTTATTCTAGCTGTTGAACCTTATCATTTCCCTTGTCAACAAAACTACATTGAAGAACCGTTGATGATAAGATATTTTAATTGAAAGTATTTCAATAAGATTGTTGATCTAAAAAGAAGAATCATAAAAATGATAGTAATAATAATGATATGATACTGATGGCACAATTATTAAAAGAAAACTTAGCATCCCAAAATCACAGAAAGAAAACATACTTTCAGGAGTGCATCTCCGACCAAAGTTATGTGTTCCCACATAAGTTGCCTTAATAGCAGTATTATTGTAAACCAGAATAGTTGGCAGATTACGGTCTAGATAGTTTGGAATGCACTCTGTCGATATAATCTTCACAAACTTTGTTGCAGGGTACCTTTTAGCCAAATCTTCCAGACATTGCAAAAGCATCCTGCACTCTGGGTATCTGTAATAAAAAGCTAACCAGGCTGAATGAAATTCTGAGCGTTGTTACTAGTTTGCTTATAACTCAAAGGATATAGCTGAATGACTATAATATAGCCCAATAGTTTCTTTTCTCTTTCATTTTTGTAGCAAATGGCAGTAGTTTAACTTTGAAATGCATTGGTTGTCAAAATTTGTACATTAATAGACCTTATCTGTCATTTAATACTGAGTATTACGAAAATGCAATTTCTAGCCACAAATTCATGTCTGAGTTCTAGCCATAAGGATATAATGTAAATACAGAGTCCAAGACACAAGTATAAACTACAAACTGCTCACCCATCTTTATAGAGCAATACCACAACCTAAATGTCTTGAGGCGCTTGTGAGACTTCACGAACAAAGTGAAATTGGAATAACTGAACCAAACTTTGCTACCTTAGCTGCTTCTCTTATCTCAGTTAACCTCTTCTTCTTAACACAAAGAAATTGCAAGAAAACCTATTAGTACCATTATCTCAATTCAATTTATGGCATCAAGTTCACTTATCTTTTGAAAGTGAATAAAGGAGATGCATTTGTTTAAATATACATAAAGTTCAAATGAATGTAAAGGAAGATCTGCATGTAAGGAAAAGAATGAAGGAAACGACTCGTCCATTTGCTTATTCTACCATAACCCAATCAGAGAAAAAACAAATCTTTCATATAAAATATAAGCATTCCTCTTCTTCCAGGCAGGTTAAATAAAATTAAGTTAGCTGACAGGCGATCTCTCAAAATCATGAGAACCCTACCCTCTCAGGGGATTGAAAACATCAAATCAGGTTTTTATAGGAGTAATCAGGTGAAATATTCATAATGCTTACTTAAACATTGCACTAAAATCAAATTTCAAATGAATTTCATCTGAATCAGTTTTGCGTAAATCAATTTTCTAAAGCCAGTTCTCAGCAACGGAAATTCAGCGCATAGATTCAACACTCTACCTATATTCTTCGAGAAATCGATCTTCGTCGAGATCATATTCTTCAAGATCTTCACTCTCTTCCTCTGTTTTATGGTCGATCCAAGCCTTGTCTTTGGGCTTAGAGTCATCATCCTCGGCAGGCGTGAAACCTGGTGGCTTGAACGGCGACGGTTTTGGCGGGAGATTTCCAAGTTTTCTCTGTATATCGTCCCATTGTGTTGAGCATCCCTCCAAATCCTTATATACAAAGTGGTAATCCGCCATGCCACGGTTTTCACAGTTCTCAACTCAGCGAGCTTAACCGTAAACTCCGTACTACGGTGTATATTTTATCACAGCTTCTCCTGTCCTGTGGAAATGAATGATGGATCTCAGAGCCCAAAATTGTTTTTTCAGAAAAAGAAATCTTTTTAGAGAATTAAATCAATCGCTATTAATCAAATCATTGTTCAATACATCAATAATAAAAGTTGGGGAACCGAAAAACAAACATGACTTTCAGACCAAAAACCAACCGCCCTTGCCATGACATGAGCCACCCGGTTCGCTGAACGTCTATCATGAGAACAAGTAATACTAACAAAATTAGCCATCGAGTCTCTTGTGTCTTCTGCCAGAACACTCGAATAGGAAACCCCGGAGCCACTTCGAATTTCACTGATAGCTAATAGGGAATCAGATTCCACGTCAATGAAATCCCATTGTTGTTCCTTTAGCCAACTGAGAACCTCCCTTAAGCCCATTAGCTCAGCTTCTAAAGGAGTCATCTGACCCCTACGCTTTATGCTTGCTCCTGCAACAAAAGAACCATAACAGTCACGAGCAACCCAGCCAAAGCCGCAGCTCTCTCCTCCGGTCGAAGCGTCAATATTGATCTTCCTCCGCCCTTCAACCGGTCGATGCCACCTGTCGATGCCACCTGTAAATAACCTCGCCAGATCTGCTCCCAGAAAATAACGCAGGCCGCTGCACCTTAGCTCAATTTCCACAAAAATTCAGGTTTTCTCCATCACTTGCAATCCATCCGTCTGAACCCTGCTCCAGACTCTTTGATTCCTTTCGTTCCACAAGCCCCAACACCCACAAACGATCATCTCCATCTCCTCTGTCTTCAGCACTTTGCTGACAAGTTCAAGCCAATCCAAAAAATTATGGGCTGATTGACCCACATTCGTCCAGCTTGCTGCACCCCACACCGTTCTAGCCATCCCACATTTGACAAACAAGTGATGGGGATTCATCTTCCTCCTCCCCACATAAGCCGCATCGGATTTCACATCCAACTCCTCTTGACTTTAAGTTACTTGTTGTTGGAAGGCATCCACAGCATACCTGCCAGAAAAAACCTTAATTTTAGAGGGTAAATTGAGACACCACATAGATGCCCAACCCATCCAATCGACCGAAGCTATTTCTCCAACAATCCTCCGATAGCAACTTCTAACTGTGAAACGTCCATTCTCCTCTCCTGCCCAAATCATTCTATCTGGAACCACCCTATTGCTCAATGGGATCCTTCTGATGAGATCAATATCCCTATCATTAAACAAATGCTTCAGAATATCCTCATCCCAGCCATCTCTTGTTGTGTTCAGTAAACCAGCCACCGGTGCCTCCTCCAAACCTTGAAAACAGTCTGATAAAATTAAAGGGTTGGTTTTGTCAGGTAGCCAAGGATCACGCCAAATATTAATGGATTTCTCATCACCGACTCGCCATCTAACTCCCTTCCGAATGATGTCTTGAACTTCAACAAGGCTCCTCCATATAAAAGAGGGGTTATTGCCCAATGAAGCTGTGAGGTAGGACTGTCCAGGGTAGTAGTGAGCTTGAAAAACTCGTCCAGCCAAAAAATCAGGCTCTGTTAACAACTTCCAGCCTTGTTTTGCTAGCATGGCCTTGTTAAAGTCTCTGATTTTCCGAAACCCCAGTCCTCCTAATTTTTTTGGTCTGCATAAATAGTCCCAACTTCTCCATCTAATACCTTTGCCGCCATTACCGTTCCACCAATAGCCGTTCATTATGACCTCCATCTCCCGACATAATTCCACGGGTAAAAGAAAGACGTTCATAGCAGAAGTTGGCATGACCTGAATCACAGTTTTCAAGAGTACCTCCCGCCCTGCTTTAGATAAAAATCTGTTATTCCAATTCTGGATTCGTTTAAGAACCCTATTCCTCAGATAACCAAGAATCTCCCTTTTGCTTCTACCAAAGAGGGCTGGCAGCCCCAAATATTTTTCCTCCTCCCCAGCAAAACCAACTCCCATCATTTCTATCAAACCCTCCTTAACGCCATCTGCAACATTTGTGCTAAAGAAGAGTTTTGATTTATTAAAATTAATGACTTGCCCAGAAGCCGACTCATACTCTTGTAAAGTATTGCGAATGGTGGAAGCTTCACTATGTGAAGCTTGGAAGAAGAATAAGCTATCATCAGCGAATAGAAGGTGAGATATCCTCGGGGGCCTTCTAGCCGCCACCACCCCATGAATCAAACCACAAGACTCCTGCCTGCGAATAAGGGCACTCAATCCTTCCACTACAATGAGAAAAAGATATGGAGACAGCGGATCCCCTTGACGTAAGCCTCATGTTGGGATAATGGGTCCCAATTCCTTATCGTCAAAGGGAATGGAATAAGAAACTGACGAAACACAGTCCATAATTATCCGCACCCATTTATCCGCAAAGCTTAGGCCTCTCAACATTCCTTCAAGAAAATCCCATTCGACCCTGTCATTTCCTCCTCAAGTAATGTTGAGCTTCAAAAGCTACCATAATATTATCAATGATAGAACGCCTAGGAATAAAAGCACTTTGCTACTCCAAAATACAATTATGAAGAAGTCCTTTCATACGATTAGTTAACACTTTGGAGTAGATTTTATAAATCACATTGCAAAGTGCTATCGGTCTCCAGTCTCCTAGAACTTCAGGTTTATCTTTCGTAGGGATTAAGACAATGTGAGTTTGATTAACCTGATCAGAAAGATGCTCTGTATCAAAAGAAGCTTTGCAAAAATCCACCACATCCAGTCCAATCACGTCCCAAAAATGTTAAAAGAAGTCGGGTACATAGAGAATATTGGTTGCTTAACTTCCTCTGCCCGAATGGGTCTAAGCAATTCCACATTATGTTGATCCGACACCTTCCTAGAGACACATCTCAGAACAGATTCACGATTGCCCTTCAAGGAAGAAAATAAGTTATGAAAATAATCCTCCACCATCCTCCCCACCTCCACCCTATCCGTCTCCCACCTCCCCCCCCCCCCCCCCCCTCCATCTTAAAACCATCCACTCTATTCTTTCTTCTCCGTCGCTTAACTACATTGTGAAAGAAGCGGGTATTTAGACCCCCCTCCCTATACCAAAATTCCATCGCTCGTTGTTTCCAGAATAGGTTTTCCTTTTCAAGGAGGTCTAAGTATTCCTCCTTGACTCTGCTAAACTCCGCCACACTCCACCCGTATGATTTCAGGCGCAGATACTCCAATCTCTTTCTACAAAAGGCAATATGTTTCCCAAAATCGCCGCCCCTACCCTTACCCCACGTCCCCACCTGCCCACTTCTCTACTACATGCTTGAATTTGAGCAACCACTCCTCTCCCCTTTCCGGCCAGCCATCCACGAATCACTACCTCTCTGCAATCTTCCTCTCTGAGCCATGTATTCTCGAATTTAAATCGGCCTCCTGCGTCTTCTCACCCCATAACCGGGTTGAGTCTGATAATCAAAGCCAGGTGATCACTAGGAACCCCATCAAGAGTCTCGGCCGCTGCATTACCAAATCTGTCTAGCCAACTATCTGAGACTAAAATCCTATCCAGCTTTTCTTCGACCCAGTTGGGTGTCCCCCGCCACCGTTCCCAAGTAAACCGGTACCCGTCGAAGTGAAAATTGCTCAGACCACTAGCCCATACCGCCTCTCTAAATCCGCGAAGAAGCCATGGCGGGTGAGGAATCTTGCCCCTTTTTCTCCCACAAACATCAGGTCATTAAAGTCATCCATAACCAACATAAAGATTTTAGAATTTCCCATGATTCCCGCCTTCTGGAACGCTCAGGGCAACCGTAGAATCCAGTAAAGAGCCATGGGGGATCTTACAGTTCTAACTGCACAAAAACATCAATGAAGTGAGGGGAAGACTCTCTGATTTGTACCGTAACCCCATCGCCCCACAGCAGGGCTAAGCCTCCTCTGTGTCCTATACTGTCCACCGTAAAGCAAGAATTGAGCCCAACTTTTCTCATAATCTCTTCCACCTTCGAATTGTTAGCAAAAGTTTCCATTAAGAAAACTAAACATGACCTCTTAGAGTGGAAATAGTCCACAAGCACCTGAACTGTCGAAGGATTTCCCAGCCCTCGGCAGTTCCAACTTAAGCAAGTCATAATGCTCGGCGGGCCTGGAAACCAGGTCCCGCCGCTACCACGTTTTTTGACTGGTCTACCTCTTTATCTTCTTCCATTGGAGCTCCCGATGTATCATCCTGCCCATTTGACTTTCGTTTTTGGATGATCCCCTCGTGTCATCCTCGGCTCCTCCTTTCCATCCCAGTAAATTGCCAAGCAACAGTTCGGGCTCACCTCCTGTCAATTTTCCGTCACCCTCAACTTCATGTTCATCCGTATTTTATTGTGTTTTGCTGTTGTGTTGATCATTCAGTTCCCCTTTTCCTGTTCCGCTTAAAGCTTGACCTTCTTCATCCACCAGCCATCTGCTTCCTTCCTTCCAGCCTCCCCTTCCCCCCGCCTTCAGCCAAACCCCAAATGGTTTCTTCTGCTCCGCAGTGATGCCGTCCAACCATCTGGGACAAAACCGATCAACGTGTCTCATGCATCCACAAATAAAGCAAAAGTGTGGGATCCGTTCGTATTTTAGGTCCACCCAATAAATCTCCGCTCCATTTCTTAGCTTCATTCTGCCTTTCAGTGGAAATTTAACATCCATTCTCACTCGAATCCGCATAAAAAGCTTACAACCTCCTTTAGAATTGTTCTCATTGGCCTGGACAAACTGTACAACATGATCTCCGATGATCTTGGCCATTTTTTCTGTAAACATCTTCATCGGTAGGTTATACACCTGGATCCAGAAATTCTCATGAGTAAAAGGAACTGTTAATGGGTTGTCCTCTTGCTCCAGACGCTTAAGAATAACAAGACTATTCTCATAAGACCACGGGGAACTCGTCATCACCCTACTGACATCAACTTCGTGAAAGAATTGAAAAAGATATCGTCGGTCACCCAATTATCTAATGTTAACCCCCCTACCAGGTCTCCAAACATCAGCCATAGTATCTCTGAATATAGAAAATTTCACCTGTTTTTCCGATAGAACTCGTCCAACCACTGAGAGGTTTGGAATCGAAAAGTTTGGGTCTGATAGTGCCTCCTCCACATTCACTTCCTCCACGCCGTCATCTTCCAACGTCATACGCGTATACAGGTTTTCCATTGAATCAGCCATCATAAATTCATAATCAACGATAAACTCAATTGGACGTAGTCAAAGCAATCGCCGTCATGCAAAGCCCAGAACCCTAGAACGCTAGGGTGGAAAACTCTGGCCACCCCACATTTTTTATATCCATCAAATGGATTCTATGATCGTAGAAAAAGAAATACTCCCTCCGTCCCGCTAAGATTTTTCCATTTTACCTTTTCGGGAAGTTCCATTAAGATTGTCCAATACCAAATTTGGTAAAGATTGTGTGGCTCTAAATCATTCTTACTTTATTCTTACTTTATCAATTTAATACCAACCACACAAATCCACTTTTCTTAATAATCGTGACACCTTCTCTCGTCCCAATCTTAGTGGGACGGAGGTAGTATTATTTATTAATAATAGAAGTAACAAGGGATAAAGTAATACTTCACCATAAATATAGAACATGCTACTCAAAAGGTAGTTTCACAACTATATGCGGTGTTTGGAACCGCTTTTAGAAACTGGTTCTACTGTCCCAAGGAGCACTTTGAAGTAGAATCAGTTTCGAATGTGTTTGGATCTGATTTTAAAAGTGATTTTAAATGGCTGAAAAATCAGATTTTTAGAATCTGGGTAGTAGCAGCTTCTCCAAAACAGCTTCTGATTTGTCTAATCTTATTCCGGACCCCCCCCCCCCCCCCTCAATATATGATGCACACCACATTGAACTAGGGCAAATGTCTTCTTCGCATCTTAGGACAGGCCAGAGCTCTTCCCACCTGCACTGCGCAAGAGCTTATTCTCCACCGATTTTCGGCATGCGGCTCTTCTCTTCTCCGTTCCACAGCCCAGGTAAACCAGTGAGCTCTTCTCTTCTCTTCTATTCTGGAGTTGTGGATTTTTTTTATCTCCTTTATGTATATCATCAATTAATACCTTTATTCCATCATTGAGTCTTTGGTGTTTCACTGTTATTCAATTAGTATTATTATTTTCTTTAGGTTATTACATACAACAGAATCAATATCAAACACTTTAGACAGATTCACTTTTCCAGACATCAGAAAAATCTGATTCTGCTTCTCACTTAAAAAAGAAGCAGAATCAGAATCAGTTCCAAACACCTCCTATGTGCTATGTATGTGCTAATATAGAATCAGATTGTTTCCAAGGACCAAACAAATTTGCCAATTTTGCAACTATGTAGGCTAATATAATAGCACTGGTGAACGTGCTACTCAAAGGTAATTGAAAGAAAATAAATTATTCAAACTAGAAAGGAAACAAATTAAATCAATAATTTCAGCTTCACCAGCCACCGAGAACGGAGAATTGATTTGGCCATCAACCAACAAAGGAAACTAAGCCAAGCAGAAATTTTCGGAATCATCGGTTTAACCAGCCAACGAAAGAAGATCTAGTTGAGCGTTTTCTTCTTCTTAGAGCGAGGCGTGGTTTTGATGGAGGGTGAGTAATTGAAACCTCAGAACAACAAGGCTGGAAAAAATTTCCAGTAGACAAACATTATCAGTCAAAGAAGAAGCCGGATTAAAACCCTCGAAAGTAGGAAAAAAGCAGAAGTATAGAATCACTACTAGAAAAACAGCTTACAGTGACACTTGTCCTGTGACACTATAATATCACTAATACATTTACGACACTTATATATCAGTAACTAATGACATTAATACATCAACACATAATTGTGACACTTTGAGCTGAATTTATAATTTAATTTTAGTTTTTAAAATTTCCTAAACCTAACACATTTATACGATTGTTACATTCTACTTCCTTCACCTCCGATCCCCCTCCCCCTTCTCTCATTCCCTTCCTCCTAAACCCGCCGCTTGGACGCTGAACGCCGCTGCCGCTTCCAGAGAGCACGAACCCTAACTCCTTCAACAACAGATCGTTCGATTGTGGATGCACAACCGCCTCACTCCAACTCCTCGCTTGTCTTCTTCTTGGGTGATTGTAGTCTCGTTCAGCTAGCTAGGGTTTCCCCTTTCTTAATCGTTCACTATGTTCCTTCGATGCGGAAAAAGTCTAAGCGAAGGCGAACTTTGAAGAGGAGAGTGCAGTTCAGCATCCACGGAGACTGCATGTCTATACACCATTGCGCCTGAAACTCAGAGAGGTAGCGTGCCCTGCTGGCTGCCCCAAACCGTCGGCCCACCACGCGCCCAGCCTGTTTGCAAGTCAGCCACCGTCGCAGCCGCCTGTTTGTTGCACTGCCGCACCTACGTGTCATATAAACTCCCCTATTTTCGTTACTATTTATCAAGGTAAATGAATCCTAGATTAAAATTTTAGTTCCGATTGTATTTAATAATTGAAGTTTTTGAGATTGTTAATTATATACGTTTATGAAACCGGAAATTAATGGGTTTCTTTTCCTTGTAACTTCAATCGTTTATTAATCTAAGAAATGTAAGAAAATCCTGCCATTTTTCTTGTGAATGGTGCTTTTTTTAGGTCTTGAAGTTGATGTATTGCATATAAGATGAAAGGTTTGGATTCTCCTAATTGTAACTATGATTTTAGTTTTATTTGAGATTGCAAAGTACTCTGTAGTAACTTAACTTCATCTTTAAATGTTAGATATTCCTGAGATTATTAATTTGGAAATAATTTATATGCTGACCATACATACATAGACTATGGAGGCCACGTAATAAGCAATAAAAATAACAAATACAAGTGTTATCTGTTAGTACCCAATTTTGATAGATTTTGATGATGTCACTATACTTTGCACTTGTACATTGTGTCTCATAAAGTAGCATTTAAATTTAAGTGACAAAAATAAATGTACAATTTTTGAGACTAAAGAAATATTACCGGAAAAGTAAAAATGCAATAAGGTAATTTTTATTTACCTTAATAGGATATTTAGATCCTACCGGCATATATTATTTAGTTCAAAGATTAATTGAATGTCACATATTTGACGAAAAGAAACTAAGTTCGAAAATTCACATACATTGAATATGTATGATTGAAGACAAAAATAGACCGGCAGTTAATGCTATATTTGTACATGGGTCCGGAGCATGGGACGCACACATGGGATTATTTTCTGAAGAGATGCTTCAGCGGCTGAGATACTCAAGACAGAGAGATCGTCCCAGAATCAAGCTCCAACACTAGAAGACGAAAAACAATTCGTACTCGCCAGATTTTCAACGTCAGAGATTAAATCATCCCAATCAACGGATGAGATTAATCCACAGGAGAAGCCTATAAATATAGGCTGAAACGAAAGTTTCTAACCAAGCTTGAGCATTCTAAGTAGAGAAATATTTCATTACGCATTCACGAGATATCTAGCAAAAGAGAAAGTGTGAATCTATACTTTACTCTCTGCTTAGACTCATGCTTCACTAAACTTCTTAGTCTCAAGTATTCATTGCTAAATCCTAGAAGTTTAGTTCCTAGTTGGAGGTTAGAACTTTCTTGTAATCAAATCACATATTGTTGTAAACACTTAGGAGAACAGTTGTTCGGGTCCTAGAGTGTGGTTAGATAGATATAGTACCTTTTGATCCCCACTGGATCATTTGAGAAAAGTCTAAGGACTGAGTAACTTTGAGTGGTGTTATACTCATTGTGAAAAAACTTCAATCTAGGCCTAAGTGTTGTAAAGGCTAGATTGGCACTAAGTGTATTGGGCTTAATACTTTAGTGGAAATCCATTTGAAAGAGGGTGGGACTGGACGTAGGAGGATTACACCACCTCTGAACCAGGATATACTGTGTGTTGATTTATTTTTCAGTCAACAAAGCACACACCAAACACTTATCACAAAAGATTGTAGTTTGCCAGCAGCATCCTAAGCAGTAGTCTTAATTGACCCTACTACTTATCCTACTGCTTAATAACTCACTTTCTTTGAGATACAAGAGGCTTGCAACATCACCACAAAAAGGCCTATTCTATCAAATCTCTGAATATCATCTTAAGGCATAGCAGGTGCCTCAACAGTCCCTTGGTGATTACCCAACTGCTGAGCCCACTGCTCATACAAACTTATTTCTCTTGAACATCTAAACTTCATCAGACCTTCACAACAATCTCACCAAGGAGTCTACTTAAACTGATCTCTGAAACCTAAGCTGAAACCCAACAGGTGCCTCAGCAGGTGCCTCACAATCACTCGACTGTCGAGACCACTGCTCCAGTAAAACTCCCAGTTACTTATACTTAAGCACATCTTCAGAAAGCCCTCATCACCATGAGCAACACCATATAATCAAATAATCAATCTTCCCATACCTTCACTTTCACTTAAGCAGGTGCCTCAGCAGTTCCCTGGTTACTACCCAACTGCTGAGACCACTGCTCTCATTAAGGTTGATTATCAATCCACCTCGTTACATCATAGAGAGCTCTTCTCATTCTAAGAAAGATTCTGCTTACACTTTCATCATACAATCAACATTTCCTCAGCAGTTACCTCAGCAGTTCACTGCCATCCAGTCAACTGCCAAGCCAACTGTTCACTACATAAAGTCCAAACTTCATCCATCATAGAAAGTTGTCATACACTATTTATATAAGAGGTTAAAGACTTCCGTTGTGCATCTATAAATCTCCCAAAAGATTATAGATCAACTCATCTAGAAGGGAAAAGTTTTTAAAGTTGAAAAAGCTTTAAAAGTCTATTCACCCCCCTCTAGGCTTTTACCTCTATCCGGGACCATCATTATCTGTGATATATTTTTCAAGACCTTCATTGGAAATTAATTTCACATTCAATTATGCTCTGTATCTATTGTTAACAAGTTTAGATCTTAATTTATGTTTATAACATATTGTTGATGAATGTAATACTTTTGCATTTATAAATATACTGTTAATGGTGTTATCATCTACAGCCTGCTGCTTGACACGAGATGAATGTGTGATCCTTTTGCCAATGGGGCGGGAGTTCCTCCTATGAATCCAAAAAATAAATGGACCACAAAACTTGAAGTTCAGCACCATGGAGTAGGCTAAACGTGATGAAGGCCACTAGTCTGGCCTTATCCATGAACGTGGGTTTTTTTGAAGCCTTGATGGATGGACGTGTGTATAATCTCATGGCATGGGGATGAAAAATTTTGACTTTTAAGGAAGAAGGATCATTGTG